ATGTGGGAAAAGTAAAGGTCAAGCTCCATCAAAGGCTTGGCTCGAGCTGGACGCCAAGACGGAGCTGCAGACATTGTCAGCAGAGCTGCCTCCTCTGAGCCTCCAGCACAGGGGCTACTTCTGGAAATCTGCCTTTATATTTAACCATAGGGAGCACTGCAGATACTTTCAAGATTCTGCCTGTGGGCTTTGTTTAAATGATGGCTCATTCAATCTTTTTGGATAAAGCACTTCTGCTGAAGTCATGTGACTGTCTGGGGTATTTCTTTTCAAATCGACTTTCCCAGCTGTGGTGCAGTATTTATTACTGTGTTCATGAGCTACTGTCGTATACCAAAGAAGTGAACATCAAAATTTCACCAGCACATGAAGAAATGATTTAGAAAGGAAGCCAGAGGAATATGGCATGTTCCTCTCATTGGCAAAAGGCAGGGGAGATGGAAAAGTGTATAAAGAACAGGTGAGGATAGCCACGAGAGGAAATAGGACTTTTTTTTCCAACTTCAGATTTTCTGTTTCTTTCACTAATAGATTCCTTCTCAATAAATCCCACTGTAACATCCTGGTAACCTTATTTGCTTTAGACAGGATGCTAAATTTAGTGAGTCATACATTTCCCAGGAAGTGGTAATTAATTGGACAATATTTGTACAGAGCTTTGAAAATGCAGGTCCTAATTTTGCAAACCCTTTGTCCGTAATGAAGATTAATTTAATCACATAATTACCACATCTCTGGACTTTGGCATCTACAGTTACCCAGCACGTGTATGATTTATATTAATTGCATGAGTAATCCAGGAGCAGCCATATTCCTAAAATTATTGGGCACGCATATGTGAAAGTTGGGTTCACAGATAGCACTTCATTGCTGCAATTTCATTTAAAAACTATTTTGCTCTTTAGACGTTTTTCTTTGAATATGATTTGTTCAAAGCCTGTCTCAGTAGTGCTGTGTGTGCGCCCAGGGTGCGAGGCAGCATCCGTGGGGCTGTCTGGCACCCCAATGGGCAGAGCCAGAGCAAAGCTGCGCTTGGAGGGGGCATCTCTTCCTTTCTCCATGCCTGTGTAAGTGCTGGTCTGGTGATACAGATCACTGTGAAGTGATCATACAAAAACCTTGTGAAAGGGGTGGAGTTTGATGGGCTTTTTTATCTTCAAAAATTGTTTGAACATAAAGAATACAGAAAGAACCGGTTTCTGCTTTGTTCAATTTGTCGTAATTTCCACTCAGACCCAAAAGGCTCTACTCCTGATTTAATATACTTTTTGAACATTTTTTCTCCCCAGACCTTGTGTTAGACAGTTGCTCCAGCATCCCACAGCTTTAGAGGTGAAGGACCTACTAATTTCCAGCCTAAATTTATTCATGGCCAGCTTATACCCATTTGTTCTTGTGTCAACATTGTCCTTTAGTTTAAATTGCTCTTTAGCCTTCCCAGTGTTTATCCTCCTGAGATATTTATAGACAGCAATCATATCTACTAGCAGCCTTCATTTGCTAGACCAAACAAGCCAGGCTCTTCTGGGCTCTTCTCTGGTGATGGGCTCTTCACTCCCGGCCACCTGGTCGAGTCTGGGCTGCTCATACAAGTGACCTGGATTATGCACAGCATCCAGATGAGCCCTCAGAGTTTGGCCCAAGGAGTGAATATCACTGTATCTGCAAGGTCTACACTGCATGCAATGCATGTGCCGATGGCATTTGTCCCTGCTGCACAGTGAGGGTCAGGACATGGGCCCATCCTCTGTGCTCATGTCCTGCTCATGCCCCCTCAACCAACTGTCTACAGAGTTTTGGTCCCTTGCTGCGTTCTGTTCTGTTTTGTACTGTTAAATCTCTTCTCGTTTCTGTTATTTGATTCTCTGTTCCCTCTCTGTGTACAAGGCATTCCTAGCTTTTTAACCAAGCCCTTTAACAACCTTAACCACTTGACCAACTGATTCCCAACCTCTGAAATTTAGCTGATGTATTTCTTTGTAGCACTGTATCAGATGATTGACAGGAGAGCAGACAGATTAGATCTGCTGCAATTGCTTAAATTATTCTTTCCTTCATAATTTTTTCCTTCAAAAGCTCTTCTTAGTTTTTAGGTCAGACTAAAAGCTCTGCACTTATCAAGATCAGCTATTTTTTTTCCCTTGATTTATGTAGAAGTAGCACATTTACTTTCCTCTAGCATGAAGATTTGCTAGATTTATTAAAAATACCAGCCACTGGGCCTTCCAGTGACTTCAGTGGGCTGGGTTTTTAGCCTACCCCTTGAGGGCAGATGCTCATATCTTTGGTTCCACAGCATCACCATCAGAGCAAGGATACAGAAACTATTTCATTTCTCTGGGTTAAGGCCATCTGATGAAACCCCCATGCTGTATTTTTTATCCCGTTCTATTTAAAATGTCACTTCTGCAAAGGAATAGAAGATCAGAATTATTCTGTGTGATCAAAACCCCATCAAGAAAATGTCTCATATGCTAGGGGGCATGAGACTGCCTATTTTTTTAATAGTCGCAGCAATAATACTAACAGTAGGACAACAAACTGAAATGCCCCTGGAGATGTGGTGACAAATTGGAAAGACATGTTGAAATTGAAATTGATTGAATAGTTCAATAAAATCAGCTTAATGCACAAAAGCAGAAAGGTTAGCTACAGAAAAACAAAAAAAAACCCAGTAATTTCTTATCTGCTGGGACCAATCTCACTGAAGATTGAATTAGTTATAAATTTAAACTAGGTGTTTGAGTGTGCCACCCTTATCTGCCCACACCAGAGGCGTTCGGATGAAGATGGGAATGGATGGCAACTGAGTGCCTAAAGGGCTGACAAATCTCAGCCTACTTTCAGTTACAAGTTTTCATGTTTGACACAACTTCACATGCCAGCCAACATCTTTCTCCAGGTCAGATCACTCTTCTGCTCCTAACACAACAGTCGTGTCTTCATCTGATGGAAACGAGCACAGCTTTGGCGAAGCTTGCAGCAGTTGTCCTCTTGCTGAGTCCCCACCGCTGCAGCTGCCACCAACCCTGAGACAGAGTGCCCATCCAGTGCTTTCTTTCCCTCTTCCCATCCATATGAGCCAGCTCTTGGGGCTGCTGCATATGTACCTTACTCAGTTCTGGGTGTTTTCATTTTTGGCTTTGTATTCTCTTGGTCAATGCAATCTCTCATGTAGATTTCTTTAATGTGGCATTCTGAATTTGTTCTGGATATTTTATTAACACTGTGCTGCAATGCTAGTGAGAAGCAGTTAGTTAAATAAAAAAGCTTGATTGTAAATCTGAGATTAATAAGACAGATTCATTCGTAGAGCATTTCAGCCTTACAGTTAGCAGTGCTTTACAAGTGGAGTAATGAATGGCAATGTTTGCACGAGAAAAAAACAAGGGCTAGAGTTTCTCCTTCATGTTTTATTATGGGTAGCACGAAATAATGGAAGTCCATTTCCATAAAATATTCCAGTTGTAAGGTGCTGATGAATTCTTATGTGTGATGTCTTGTCAATTTAGCAGATTAATATCTGTCATTTAAAAGTGCTGGAATCAAGATAAAGCTAGAATTCAGATTTCTGTTTTTTAGCAGCTCAGAAGAATTACAGAATTAAAGCAGTTTTGGCAGCTGAAGAACACTGTTATGGGAGTAAGCAGACCTAACAGACCTAATTTTCACCATGTGAAACTTCGAAGAGCATGTGACATTTTGCACAAGATGTAACGTCAGCAAAGGAAAAGGGCGGCCCTGGAGTAGCAGAGCCAGACTGCAGCAGCCAGCAACCATTCAGCACACAGCCACTCTGGGCAGCTCTTTCCTCCCATTAGAGACCCTCCACTTGGCTTTGCACAAAGCTTTTCCAGTGTAACACTGTGATTCCATATCCACACCCTTTGGGCTCTCCATTGCTCTGCCAGAACCACTTGGTCCCCGAGTCCCAGCTCACATGGGTACAGGAGGTGTATTCCCCATCTCTGGAGGTATTTAAGAGATGTGACATTGAGGGTCATGGTTAGTGGTGGGACTCAGTTAGTGTAGTGGGAATGCTAAGTCACAGCCTGAAACAGTGATGGAGCACCTGGTGGGAAGGCAGGGCCAAACCACAGAAACTCAGCTGCACCTGAGTGACCAGAAGGGCTGGAGCCAGGATCCACCTCTTCCAGACCTCATTTAAAGGCTGGCAGTGGAGGCAAGGGCTTCTGTTGCTGGAGATCTCTGCCTACCTGAGGCCTTCCTAAAGGTTAGCAGCTATTTTCCTTTATTTCTGTGCCTGTGGCTGCTGCATTTGGTCTGGTTCTCATTTGCTGTAGCTAAAGACCTTGCTAGCCTGCTATCATCATTCCATTGTATTATTACAGTTGGTCAGGCTAATGGTTGGACTGGGTGCTCTTGACAGTCTGTTCCAACCCTGATGATTCTATGATTAAGTGTTCTATATGCCCTGAGTGTGATGTGGGTAGCTTGGCAAGATGGTTTGCTCTGCAAGATTTTTTCATTCTTCAAAGTAAATGAGAATTTTTAATGAAGATTTTGTTATGGATTGAAACAGGGAAGATATTTTAAGTGTCAAAAGGCATTGAACTGTGTGAGCAGAGCCAGTTGGAGTGACATGAGGCAATGCTGCTGTCAGTTGGGGATTATTAATGTGTTTGGTGACTTTTTTGATGAAAAAAAAAATGTCAGCCAAATTTCTACTTGTTCTCAGAAGATGCAAACTAATGTTGCTGAAAACATTCAAAAATTGGCAAAAATGTCTGTCTAAGCCAAGTATTTCTGCCTGTAAGGTCTTTTATTTTCCTATGAACAGGTGATAACCACCAATCTATGTGAAAATTGCTTCAAAAATGCAATGGAAAATTTTATGTTTTCTTACTAGCATTTCAGGTCCGTCTAACTTTGTAGTCAGCCTTAAGATTGAACTTATATATGGAAAATAAACTGAGACATTTTACAGGATGCCTTTTTTCATTCTCTTCTGTTTGTTTGCTTGTTTGTTTTCTTTCCAGAAAGTTCAGCAGTACATAGTCATCGTTCAAGCCACAGATATGGAAGGAAATCTTAACTACGGTCTCTCAAACACAGCAACTGCAATCATCACAGTGACAGATGTGAATGACAACCCCCCTGAATTCACGACCAGCACTGTAAGTAGCAAGACATCAGCACAGCAGTGCCCAGACACAGCGTGGTTGTGATTCGGGATGTTTGTGCCGGTCGGCTCCCTTTGCTGGTTTGGCAGATAGGACAAACTTGATCAATCTGTGGAACAAAGACTTTTAAGGGGGGTGGTGGGGAAAGGAAATAGATGGGTAAAGGAAACTAACATGATCTGTGAGATAGCAAACCTATTTGGCGACCAATTTCAGTGAGGTACTAAAGGAGCTGAAATAATGTGGCAAACAGACGATGTCTGATTGCCCCAAAGAGGATACAGTTGTTTCACAGCAATCAGCTGTAGACATCTCAGAGTTATTATTACTTATGAGTGAAATCCGGAGCAGTAAGAGATATTTGGGGTTTAGTAGCCTGGATATGATTTCAAAGAAGTAGTAAATACTCTAAATGGTAACAGTTATCCAGGAAATTTGTATTACACTGATAGCTTTAACAGATGTATTTGTGTGTGCCAGCAAGTAAGTGTGTAGACGTACTTCACTACATCTGCTTTTAATCAGTTTAAGATGTTACTTCTATTAGCACAGTATTTCTCTGTTCCGTTCTCATGTGCTCCAAGTATTTATTACTTGTGAGAAAGAGGAAAAATAGAGAGATTGCAAATTAGAGCTGATTAAGATCAAATTGAAAAGACAGAAGGAGACACAATGTGGTCTTGTTCTTTCCAGCCTGTGTAATCCATATAGGTAGAACATCCAAAACGTGCATAATAACCACAAAGGAGTATAGAGATCTACATGGTAATAAATGAGAAAGCACTGTGTAGCCACTGTCTATATTCATATCATTGTAAACCAGGAGGAGCAAATGATTTGTCTAGAACTGATACCAGATCACTGAGAATACAGAAAGTCAAAGCTGCATTGTGCTCGTGTCACTGAACGTTCTTTCAGGAATGTGTTTATTATTTATATTATTCTGAATTTTCATCTCGTCTTACAGGATATGCAAATATTTATTCATGTAGTGCTGGAGTTTCTCCTTACTTACACCCTTACAAACTGTGAATATGCAACAGAGCTCCAGGGAGTCGTGCAAAGCCCAATTGATGTCACAGTGGGTCCAGTTGGGCTTCATGCTGGTGGTGGGATCCTGCCTTCATCTCACCACAGGGGCCTCAGTGGTCCCTTCCAGCCCCTACAGTTCTGAGCCCTGGGCTCTTGGGCACGGTGTGCTCATCTTCCAGGCAGTGGAAGTGACTGTGTTGTGGATTCTCAGAAGGGCTGCACTAGGTTTCTCCTGAGTCAGAAGCGGGCTGCCAGCCTGCAGCCTGTGTTGCTGTTCCAGCCCGTAGAGCTTGGGTTTTACAACAACACATGTGCTTCCTATCTGTCATAGTGAACACACTGAGCTTTGTAGTGTAAAGCTGTCATTAAATATCTCCTTACATATGATGCATATGGTTGTGGGGAGCCACAAAAATGTGCTGCAAAGCTTAGGGCACGCGTTCCTTTCTCGTGCCAGCATAGAATTGTTTTCTCTGGGAAGGCTTTTAGGGGCTGTGTTGCAGAGTTTGGCAATTCCCGGGCAATGGGACTTTCAGTACAACCATACAAGCTTGCTAATATTTGGCAAGGAGGTTATTCTACCAGGTGAACAGCTCTTCTTTTGAGTGAAAAAGGAATGACATCTAGTGGCCACATCATTTAAGCACAAGTTCCAGATGACCCAAGTTGTCTGGTCATGGCTCCAGAAGAAAGACAGGAGGTGAAGTCTCTTGTAATGCCTTCTGAATCTGATGGAAGGGAAGATAAGGGTAATCTGCTTTCAGGTGAATTCTAAGTGTTTTACATTTCAATGTGTTAGACCTAAAAGGAGTGGAGTTCATCAAGAGAAATGCACATAGGACTGTGTGAAATCACAGAGTTGTAGGGAATCACAGAATTGTAGGGGTTGGAAGGGACCTCCAGAGATCATCGAGTCCAACCCCCAGTGGGTGAGAAGATGCTACTCTTCTTAGCATGGCTGCTGTGTACCATTATTTCTCTGATTTCAATCACTGAAGAGAAAGCTCTACAAAGAACCAAAGAGCTTTATGCACAAGGGACTTGTTAAAGATTTCAAAAACCAAGGGCTTTTTACAATAATACAATAATATTTTCTGATTTTAATGGAAACTATCATCTTTGATGTAATCCCAGGAATAGCCAGGATGAATTTTGTGGGAGTATGGGAGCACAATATGGTTTTTCCCTGACTGGCAGAGAACAGCACTGGGCTAATCAGTCTCCTTGAAATGAAGCTGAATTTCCTCTCTGTCCTCAAATAGTCCGATCTGCTTTTTAACACCTCTTAAAAAAAAAAACAAAGGCAAAAATCTCTTTCCAGGAAACCTACAGCTCTCAGATGGTAACAAAGCCATGGTCTCCTGTAAGACTGGAGAATGTTTGGAGAGAGATGGTCATTTTTAAATAAAAATGCTCCTGTATTGAAATGATCAAATAACTAAAATAACAGCTTGCTCTTGAGAAGTTGCCAGCTGAAAGGAGCTGGAGTGACTGTGTTCGACCCAGAAGCACAGAAAGGCCAATCTTATGGTGCTCCTAAATTACCTGTCATACAGCTGGGGGCAGAGTGGGGTTGGACTTCATCATTACTGGATAAGAATGTTGCTTGGGAGAACTCTGCAACATGCTGGTGTCACAGCTCATGTATTCAGCAGCAGGATTTAATGGTGTTATATAAAAGTTAATAATGGGACAGGAGAGGAAAACACAGCCACTGTGATGGTCAAGAAATTGGGATCATGGCAGTAACTGAGCATTGCGTGGGGCTGAGGTGGAAGTCCAGACACAAGGAGGGGATGGGCTGCCCAAGGTGTTTTGCTTAAGGGCCATTTAAAACCAGATGGGCTGCGATCACAGTGCATTGCTGGAGAAGTGAAAAAGGAGCAGAAGAAGATCCTTAAATGTAGAAATTGAAGATACCTATAAAACTCCAAAATGGATGTTTGCTTCTGTGAAAGTGGATCAATGGGTTTTTACATCCTTTCACAGAATAACAGGGGAAGAAGAATCTCTGCATTCTCATATGAAGGATTATGAAGTTAGAAGGTGAGGGGAAAAAAATGAATCTCTGAGGGAAATATTTCTGAATTGAAATGTGCTGCAAATGCTGAGCCCAGCAGCTCTATCAGCAGAGTCAAGGCCAGCTCTGGCCAGCATGCCTAGGACTACCAGCATCAAACTGTGACGTGCTGGGGCACAGCAAGGATGAGGTGACCTCCTTGAGTCCTTTCCAGCTCTGGTTTTTATGAGGTTGAATGCATCCTCAATCTGCGATGCTATATGGCCATGCTGAGAAGCATCAGAGAGCAACTAATGGGGGGAGATATCTCGTGAGATACTGCCTCAGTGGGAAACAGATCTGTGCTAGAAGAATGGAGTATCCTATGATGCTGTAAACATCATAGATGGCTATTTTGGACAATTTTAATGATTTAGTGCAGGTCTGTGAGCCAGGGAATGCTCTTCTGGTTAGCTAAGGGACTTCAGCAGCCGGCTCTTTGTGTTGTGTTCTTCATGTGACATTGCAGTTTGCAAAAATAAATGGAGGGATTCAATTCTTCCCTCTGCCACAGGGCAACAGTAGGAGTTCTCTGAGACGTGCCTGACCAGACTACTCCTGTGGGCTCTGGAATGCCTTGGAAAAGTTTCATCTACCATACCCATCTACCATACCCAAGTTTTCCATTCAGAGTGATTAGCTGTGCTGATTCATTCCTGTGACACTCTTGGTGGGCTTGCACCTGCCTAATCATCAGCTGACATGACATGGTAAAATTTTAGCTGGACTTTGCATTGCATCAAGACCTTGTAGGAAGTTTCTCTAGGGAACTTGCTCCAACTGCTAGAAGATACCTGCTACTACAGTATCCGTGCGCCATCCATTATGCAGTGTGCTGCTGCTCGTAGCACGGTTGTTCTCTGACACTTTGTAATGGTGTGGAAATTCCTCTGCCACCCTTCGAATATTTATCTCCTATGTGCAGGCAAGTTGCATTTTTTCCACATTAGTATAGATCTGTGACGGAGCCCCTGAGCAGATGTTCACCTCAGATACAGAGGAGGCACACTGAAATTAGTGTTGGTGTTCCAAAGATTAAGCATCAGCTGAGACAGAACAGTGCTGGATACTCTCAGGTAAGATTTTACGCAAGGTGGAGGCATTTTTTTGGCTCATGGAAGGAATGCCTTTAATGCTTCTGTCAAGCTGGATGCCCTTTCCAGCCTGACCCAATGTAGCGATAATCTCCATCTGAGGGTTTCCACTTTATCTAAGGAAATGCATAATCAGAGGGGAGGAGGAGAAAAAGAAACCCTTGCCTACACTTGACTCTTACAAAGTCTATTTTTATCGTATTCAATCAAGAACAATCAGGCACAGAGAGGAGATGCAGATGAATTTGCATGATCAGACTTCTGTGTCTTAAATGTTAATTAAAAGTTATTTTAAATTTGCCTACTGTGCAGAACTTGTTTTTATAGTGGCCCGTGTAAGGGAAATATTATTTCGCAGGGCTGAAGTGCTTGTAATTAGTTGAGCTTGTGGATTTTGGGGAAACCTGACTGGCAATCAGAAGAAGAAGAAGAAACTGGGCTATTCAAGTTCTTTAAGCTCCTGAGCCTTAGGAGGTCTTATTTAAAGCTACTTTAAAATTTGCCCTTTGGCACAGCTTTGAGAATCTCCTCTTCCAAGGCTGAACCCAGTAGAGCATATTTTAAAGTGCCTGCTCCAGAATTACCTCTGCTTCCCCTCTGCCTCTTGGGCTCCTGTTGGGAGCAGCTCTGAATGTTTAGGAGCAAGTGTTGGGTAGTGCTGAGCCCTGTGGGCTGGGAAGGGCCAGAGCTGGTTGTGAAAGCAGAAGAGCTGAGGAGGCTTGTCTACTAGCAGAAGGGGATGTGTTGCTGGGTGAGGTTAATCTGTTTGTAAAGTGGATTTAGCTAATCAGTGGAGGAACAAGCATTTG